CTATGAAATATAATCAAAAGGATCCCCTCCCTCAGAAAATTAGCTATAGGAAAGTAGAAACATTTACAGTCATGTGGAGTTATATTGTACTATAAGAGAACACTGATGGCTGTTGCCTAACATGCCAGACTGCTGATTGAAAGATCAATAGTTTGAACCCACCAGCTACTTTGAGAGAGAAAGATACAGATTTACAGACTGAGAAATCTGATAGAGTGTTACTATGAGTCAGATTCTATTTGATGGTTGTGGGAATATACTTTAAGAAGCCTTGCTACTACAGTGCAATGTATTTGGCTGCTAACTAAAGATTCATTGTTGTCTTTGTGTGCTACTGAGTCACAACTGACCCATAGCTGACCCTGCAGCAGATTTTTCAGAAGCTGTAAATCACACAGGGGGAGATTGCCCATTCTTCTTGCACAGAGCGGCTAGTGGAGTTGAACCACACAGTTTGGGATAACATTGCAGTTTCTTACCACTAGGCTACCAGAGCTCCCTAACTGAAAAGTTAGCAGTTTGACTTTACTAGCTGCTTTATTGAAAAATGGTGGACATCTTTCTCTTCTAAAGGCTTAGGAACTTGCTACAGGGTCTCCATGAATTGAAATAAACTCAGTGGCAGTAGGGTTAGCATATTAATTGTTGTTGTTGTTGTGTACCATTGAGTTGGAACTGACCCATAGCTGACCAGAGGCAGGTCATCGCACAGGAGGAGATTGCCCATCCTTCTCCCACAGAGCAGCTGGTGGATTTTAACCGTGTGCCTTTGGGATTGCAGTGCAGCTTCTTAGACTATAGTAGTGTTTCTTTTTTTAAATGTACATTTTAATATTAGATGTTGGCCTATTGTTCATGAGGTATCTATGCTTTGAAAGCAAAAGTATTAATAACATTTGAAAATTTTTCTATGTACTAGAAATATCTTAAATTTGAGGTCTGTGCACTCACCCATGTTTCATTTAATTTAAAGTAGCATGTATTTCTGGAATTCTCATTTTCAATTTTTGGTCACCTGATTTTTGTCTTGAGAATCATGTCAAGGCAGATCTACTTTTTCCTATCATCCATCTAAAAATATTTTTTTTATCATTTAAGTCTTAATTTTCATAACTTTCAATACATTTATTTGACAATAAATTTTAATTGTGCCTTTTTAAAAAATTTCAGAATTTTCTTTCTTTGATCCTAATGATGCATCATGCCAGGAAATTCTCTTTGATCCCAAAACTTCAGTATCAGAATTATTTGCCATCTTAAGACAATGGGTTCCTCAGGTCCAGCAGAACATTGACATTATTGGAAATGAGGTAAGGTCCTCTTAAGTGTGAAGATCTGCGTTGATTGTTAATGATGTAGATAAGCTTCCCCCCATCTAAGTGGGAGGATGATGATGAAGGAAAGAGAATAATGTCCCAGGTATTTCTTGGGCAGAGATTTGGCTCCTTATTTTTTCCATCATTCCCTCATGCAGCTGACTTTCTTATACCTGGAATTTTGTCATTACAGACTCTGGTGGAAAGAGGGGAGACATTCTTCTTTCTTTTCTTTATACAGTTAATTTTGAAAAAAATTTTTCTTTTGCATTTTGTTAAGTGATTTGATGACCAGTATATTCTGTCTTTACATATTATTGGTTTGACAAAGATGTAGGTTTAAATATAATATTGAAAAAATTTAAATTTTTGAGTGGGCTAAAAATGAGTGGCCCACTAAGAACACAAATAGGTCTGTCTTGGAGAGGGTATAACCAAGTTTCTCCTGGGAGGCTAGGGCTTTGAAGTTTCATCTCACTTACTTTGGGAACATGGCCAGGAGGGACCTGTCCTTGCATAAGGACATCATGCTTGGGAGGGTGAAGGGACAGTGCAGGTGAGGCAGACCCCTCATGAGATGGATTGATAAAGTAACTGGGGCGGTGAGGGTAGGCGTGTTGGAGATGTTGAGACTGGCTCAGGACAGGGCAGGCAGAGGGTCTCTATGAGTCACAGGTGACTCAGTGGCACATAATAACAACAACAAAAATGAGTAGATTTCTGTCATCAACATGTTTTGTAGTAAGAGACAGTGTATACTTTTTGAAATGCCACTGCAAAAAATTATGTGAGGGCAGTATCTGACGTTCCTGTATAACTTCACTAGGGGGAGAGTGACATACCATCAGCATCAGTTCAGGGAGGGTTCCTGTGAAGTAGAGGTCAGACGTATTTCCTGTCTCTGACCTTATTACTAATTTGGTTATCAGCCACTACTTCTCTGCTGAGCTCAAGAAGTCATTGCCGTCATCACAAAGAGCAGACCATACTTACATTCCCTTGCCTTTCTGGATAATCACATGCTACAGTTCAGATTCAGGAGTTCTCAGGACACAGTTCTGAGATCAGATAGCCTCTTCTTCACCATACCCATAGACCGGCCTCTCTCTGCCTTAGATAGCTGGCTCCTTGACCCTTGATTCTCCTGCTTGGACAGGGCGTACACTACACCACTCTTTAGCCCCACTAGTAAGTGACTGTGGACCTGCACTCTCCTAGTAAGCCTGGGTCTGAAGGCATCAAGTTCCTCACACCATGGATTGGTATGTCCTGCGTGGTTAGTATGTCCCCCTTGCTCATGGGGCTGGGAGGCCCTCTGTGCCAGTCTCCTGGTGCTGCTGCTGCTTTCTGTCTGCCGAGCCTTCTTGCTGTTTGTATGAACTCTTGCTCTTTCTCTCTCTCTCTTTGTCTCTCTCTGTCTCCTGGTTCAAAGGATGCACTCTCCCCTTGGTTGGTAGGGAGTTCCTCTTTTGCTGCCCTGGGGTAGCAGATAATTCTTTTTAAACTTAGTGGAATGGCAAAACTGACCTATCACTTTACAGATACCTGATTTGTATGATTTTACCTCCACAAGGATGCCATGCATCTTATTTGCATTATTAGCTAACTTTTATCCCCTTGATAGGCTACAAGTACGTTTTTTACATAGACCTACTCAATTATGTTGTTGTTAGATAATGTCAAGTCAAATATGACTCGTAGTGACCCTATGAGCAGTGGATCTGAACCTCATCCTCTCCTAAGCTATCTTAACATTTCTTGATACACTAGAGCCCAATTGTGACAGTCTACTGTAATGCACCTGGTTGAGGGTCCCCCTCTCCTTCGCCAACACTCCACCCTTCCAAGCATCTTGTCTCTCTCCAAGGAATAGCCCCTCCTAGCAACATGCCCAAAGTATGTGAGGTGAAGTCTCATCATCCTTACCTCCAAAGAACACTCTGGTTGCACCCTTTCCAAGACATACTTAATTTGTTCTTTTGGCCATCCATGGGATATTCAGTGCTCTTCTCCAACACCACAGCTAAAAGGCATCAGTTCTTCTTCTGTTATCCTTATTCATTGTCCGGCTCTCATATGCATAGCAAGTAATCAGAAAGACTATAGCCTGAATCAGATGCAAATTAGTCCTTAACCTGACATCATTACTCCTCAGTAATTTGGAGAGATCCCTAACTCTAGATTTTCCCAGTGCAGATTTAGATTATAGTGAAAACTCTATGAACACTAGAGGAATTATTATGTGGGAACGTGTAAATAAGACTATCTGGTTCTCAAGGCTGGTTGAACTACTCATTATACTACATCATCACATCTGCTAGAGAGGAAATTTTGCTTGATATTTAAGAGGATACTAAGGGTCATATTTTGGAGTTACTGATGGCATGAAGTTCTCTTTACTTCAAGAATTTCCTCCAGCCAGGTGATAAGTGACATTTTCATTGTTCTCTGGTGCAGTTTTGAATTTTACTTTTATGAAAAGCCCGTTCTAGCTGTGCATTTTACTGAGAAGTAATTTAGATATATGGACTAAGTTTGATAGTGTAGTAGTCATACTGTCATCAATTTCCTTGGTTTCCTTAGATTCTTAAGAGAGGCTGCAATGTGAATGACAGAGATGGACTGACCGATATGACACTTCTGCATTATACCTGCAAGTCTGGGGCTCACGGTATTGGTGAGTAGTCACCAAGTCTATTGATCGCTTAGGAAATCTCTGTTTGTACTTCTGAAATCTGTATTTATGCCAATCAGAGGATGTACGTTCCCTCAGCTCCCAAGGACTGCCCCCGTTGTGATAATATGTTCTGAATAGATGAGCATCCAGTTAAATTCTTCCAGCGACCTTGTTCTCTTCCCTGATTTACCTCAAGGGTATTTTCATACCTTGTTGAAGCCTCCAGCTTTTCTGGTACAGGCTATAGACCTATTTGCTTATTAGGTGGGAGCCACTGGTGACATTCTAGAAACCTAGAAGGTTAAATCCAAGGATGGGACAGTGCAAAGCCAGTTTTCCAAATGTCGCATTCCTTAACACATTCTGCCCTTTTTAGGCCTTTGTCATCTATTCCTACATCGACAATGAATGTGCATGTTTTCCCAGATGAGCCTATTTATATGTTACACCATTTTATGCACTTGGGTTTCTTATTTGATGGTATGCTGTGAACTTCTCTTCATGCTTTGATCATCTGATGTTTTTCAAAACACTGGTGGTGATGGATTCCCTTCACCATCCAGTCAATCAAAGATGGATATTTTTGTAAAAATGAAAGGGGAAGAAAGAATAGTCAAAAGAGAAAGTGCAAGACCACATGATTTGCAAAAGATATAAATTACATTTGAATACTATAATAAGAAGAAAACATTAAAAGAAGAAAAAAAATATTTAAGAAGGACAGACAGAAGTTACACCGTGGGGACTGGCTGTGGTCTGTGGAGAAGCTCCGGGCTGGTACATGTGTGCAGTGGCTTCCCAGGATCCTATTGTTAGGATGTATCTGTTTATTGAATCTCTTTCTTGTTGTACTTTTAGGTTGTTTCAGAATTTTACTCCTAATAGTTAGTGCTGTAATGAATATCTTTGTGTGTTTGGGTTTATTCACATCCTTGAGTGTGATTATTTTAGAATGCATTTCTGAAAGGGACATTTCTGAGGGGGTTATAGTGTATCTCCTGTGTGCTTTGGCTTCTTAAACGATGTAGGAACTAGCCATCCATTGGAACTGGAGATTTGTGCTGAGGACTAAAAGAAAAATAATTCAGCCAGTCTTGTTTAGGTGACGTTGAAACAGCAGTGAAATTTGCAACTCAGCTCATGGACCTGGGAGCCGATGCAAGTTTGCGGAGTCGCTGGACAAACATGAATGCTCTGCATTATGCTGCATATTTTGATGTCCCGGAGCTTGTGAAAGTGATTTTGAAGACAGCTAAACCAAAAGGTAAGTGGTATATGATCACTCTCAGATGCTGTTAATTGAGGAGCCTGTCAGTTTTACAAAGAGTTCAAGGAGATTTTTGTTTCTGCTATTATTAATTATGATTATTATTACTTTTAATGAAAGTTTACAGAGACTTAGGGTTTCCATTCATTCATTGTTGCACTTTTCTCCCTGCCCACTCCTCCCCTACAGTTCGCTCTTCTTTTTGAAAAGTAAAAGAAAATTTTTTCATTGTTATACAATCCCTCCCTCCAGGTCCACTCCACTGTGCAACCCTCGTTCTGGACTCCTGTCATGACAATAATACCTAATCATATACCCTTTTAAAACAGTTCTCTGCCTCATTGTTTCAATGAAGTATACATCATTTATCCCCTCTTTCTCAGTTTCCCCCCAACCGTGAGGTCAGTCCCGTTTTACAAAAATGGCACTATGCAGTATTTGTCCTTTTGTGACGGAGATATTTCACTTAGCATAATGTCCTCCAGGGTCACCCATTTTGAATAATAGTTCATGAGTTCCTTGTTTTTTAATGCAGTGTAGTATTCCATTGTGTGAACATACCACAGCCTCTCTATCCATTCATTTGCTGATGGGCACTTAGGCTGTTTCCAACTCTTTGTTATTTTGAACAAAGCTGCAATAAACATGGGTGTGCATATATCTGCTTGGATGGCAGTTATGATCTCTTTGGGGTATATTCCCAGTAGTGGAATTGCTGGGTTAAATGGTATTTTAAAGCACCATACCGCCTTCCACAGTGGTTGCACCATTTTACACTCCCACCAAAAGTGAATAAGGGTTCCGGTTTCTCCACAACTTCGCCAGCATTTGTTGTTTGCTGTTCTGTTAAATTTTGCTATTCTGACTGGTGTGAGATAGTATCTCATAGTTGTTTTGGTTATATCTCTCTTTGAGCTAGGGATTTTGAACATTTCTTCATGTGTTTGCCATGTTTCTGCTCTATCTTGTTACATAGAGTCTCCCACTCCATTTTTCCTAAAGAACGGATAGGAATAGTTACTATTCCAAACTATAGATATGCTATAGTTTTTATTGAGAAGTTAGTATTCCATTACAAAAGACACTAAAGGAAAATATCTATTATAAAGAGCTACAAAAGGAAAATATTTCTGTGTATCTCATGGCTTGTGTAAATAGGTAATTGACTCCATGTGCTATGTTGTTGTTATGTGCAGTCAAGTCAGCCCCGACTCATAGCAACCTTACGAACCTTGCCCTGTCCTGAGCCAGCCTCTCCATCTCTGACACACCTGTCCCCAGCGTCACTGTGTCAATCCATCTCATCCAGGATCTTCTTTTCCTGTGCTGACCCTCCACTCTTCCTAGCAGGATGCCATATGCTATTATCACTGTTTTATGTTGCCTGAATGACCAAGAAAAGACTAAAGAAGGCCGTCAGAGGTAGACATCCATATAATAAAGAATAGTAATTTTAGATGATATACATACCATTTTGAAATTCTGTAATTCTACTTTCCCAAAACGCAAACCAAACTGACTGAGTGGATTCCAACTTACGGTGACCCTGTAGGACAGAGCAGAAGTGCCCTAGAATCAGGATTTTTGAAGCAATAGGTTTCTGAGGTCTTCATAGAAGTGGACTGGCTCATCTGTCTCTCCTGCAGCCTCTAGTGGGTTTGAAATGGTGACCTTGAGATTAGTGGCTAAACATTGTAACCACTGTACCACCAGGGGTTCACCTAGCCCTCCATTTTCATGGTGAGAAATTGTACATTCTGTGCAATTTACACAATAAATTTACAATTTACATACATTGTAAATTTCAGGGAACTGAAATTATACATTAAATGCCTAAATTACAGTCTTAGTATTTATTTATTCATTTACTGATGATAAGACACTGTGCTGAATCCCAAAGGCACGCAGCTCAAATCCACCAGCTGCTTTGTAGCAGAAGGATGGATAATCTTCTTCAATGTGATTTACGGCCTCTGAAATCCCACTGTAGAGTCAGTTCTGAGGCAAGCCTGACCTGACAGTACACAGCAACAACTCTGGTCATTTTAGTGGGTCAGTTTTCTGTTGAGAGAAAAAATGAGAGCAAGTACAATACCTTACACATTGTGGAAGATGTATTTTGGGATTTAATAGATGGATTTCCTAGAATGTTTCTTTCTAACTTCTACTTCACATACTTGGCTATTTTCTCTTTGAATTTTACAATTTGAATTGTTTTTTTTTTAAATTTTTTATTGTAAATTTTAATGAACATTTACAGAGATTTTGGATTTCCATTCATTCATTGCTGCACTTTTCTCCCTACCCACTTCTTCCCTCCTCTCTTTGAAAAGAAAAAAGAAAAATTTCTTCATAGGTATTGTTTTTTGTTTATTAAGAGTAAAAAAACATCTGTTGATTGTAGTAGCTCAAGAGTTTGTTCTGCTCATGTTGGAGGTTGGATATGTAAGGGGTTGTGTGGTTTAGATGAAGATAGAACTTATAGAATCAGAAATATATTAAATTCTTATAGCTACCATTCAAAATGTGATTTACAAATAAATGTCTATGTTTATTAATAATATGATGATGATTTTTGAAAGTTATTTAAATGTTTCTTCTTGTTGTTGAGTACCATCAAGTCAGTACTAACCCATAACTGACCCTCCGGTGGGTTTTCAGAGGCAGTTAATTGCATGGGAGGAGATTTCCCGTCTTTCTTCCATGAAACAGCTAATGGATTTGAAGCACATACCTTGCTTTGCAAGTTGTTGTTGTTGTTCTGTAGTGCCAAGTTGGAGCCGACCCACAGCTGACCTTCCAGCAGGTTTTTAGAAGCAGTTACTAGCATGGGAAGAGATTGCTCATTCTTCGCCTGTGGAACATTTGGTGGATTTGAACCGTGAGCCTTTGGGATTGCAATGCAGATTCTTACCACTAGGCCACCAGAACTCCCACTAATGAGAAAGTAGCCATGGAGAATATATACATGGATGGATGTGGGTATATTTCACTAAAACTTTTTACCAAAGAGATGGAGGAGGTAGATTCGATCCCAAGGTCATAGTTTGATCTTACTTAAACCTATCTCACTGTGGTTGTCATAGAAAATAGGTAAAAGATTTCATGAGTGATTGCATTAAGATAATAACTTTTTACACATGCTAGTTATATGGTTTAGTTTGTGATAGTTGGAAGACTCATGATAATATGACTTCATTTTATAACAAAACTTTTTTGTCTTAGGCCAAATCAGATTGTAATATGAGAATATTTTTCCTCTAGAAAATGGTGCTTTTGGAAGTTGATGTAAGACTCATAAATAGTTAAAAAACCAAACAAGCCATAAAAGAAAAGAAATCTTCTTCTTCACCCCCCACTTTTAAAATTATAATAGCCAAATTAAAAATTATAGTTAATGTTTTTGTGATGTTTAATTGCAGATGTGGACGCCACTTGTAGTGACTTTAACTTTGGAACAGCTCTGCATATTGCGGCATATAACTTGTGTGCAGGTACTGTGAAATGCTTACTGGAGCATGGAGCAAATCCTGCATTTAGGGTAAGAATTAAATTGAAAGTGAAAAAAAAAATTGCAAGAACTAAGTCTTATGTTAGTTCTCAGAAGAGTTAAATCTCGATATTGTTATTATAGAACTGATATATGAATCAAATTCTATTTTTATGCTACATGTAAATAAGTACTCATGATAAACACAATTGGAAGTAAACTTAAGGTACAGTCATTTCAGTCCTTATATATTAATGTTGTTCTATGTGCCATCAACTCTGAACTGACTCATAGCTGACCCTCCAGCTGGGTTTTGTTGTTTTGGTTGCTGTGTACCATAGAGTCAGAACCAACCCATAGCTGACCCGCCAGCGGGTTTTCAGAGTCAGTTAATTGCAAGGGCGGAGACTGCTCATCGATCTGCATGCCTTTGGGATTGCAGCACAGCTTCTTACCACTAGGCTGCCAGAGCTCCAACACTTACTTCTATTTGGGAGAGTAAAATGCTCCTTAAATTGTCATAATTGTATGTATATAGTTATAGTTATATATAGTTTTTATTTGAACTTTTGAGTTGTAAAAAATTAGCTGTTAAAATGTGTATATACATTATATTTTTGTGTTACAGTATGCTTTAAATTATTTTGGAATAGAATTTAATTTAGAAAGTTAAAAATGCAAATGAAGTGATGCTTAAATTTAAATCTTAGGAAAAAATATTTTCAGAGTAATAATATTACTATTTAAATAATTATATCACTAAATTATCATATGAACTCTGATGATCTACTGGTAAGAAGAGGCTGTGCTGCAATCCCAAAGGCATATGGTTCAAATCCACCAGCTGCTCTAAGAGAAAAGGATGGGTAATCTTCTCCCTTGGGGTTTATTGTTTCAAAAATCTGCTAAAAAGTAGTTAAAGCGGGTAACTGGGAAGTCTTAACTGTTGTTGTTATGTGCCGTCGAGTCACCTGCGACTCATAGCGACCCTATGTACAACAGCCCTAAACCCTGCTCTATCCTGTGCCAATCGCACTGCCTCCGATATACCCATCCCGATTACCCCAGACACTGAACAATCCACGTCATAGAGGATCTTCCCCTCCTGCGCTGTCCCTCCACCCTCCCAAGCATGATGTCCCTCTCCAAGGATGTGTCCCTCCTTACAACATGTCCAGAGTATGTCAGAGGAAGCCCCAGAATCATTGTCTTCAAGGAGTAGCCTGGTTTAAGCCTCTCCAGGGTGAATCTGTTTCTTTTCTTGGCAGTCCATGGTACATTCAAGACTCTTCTCCAGCACCACAGCTCAAAGGCATCTATTATCCTTCTATCTTCCCTAGTCGTTGTCCAACTCTCTGATGCATAACAAATGATTGCAAAGACCATAGCCTGTATCACACACACCTTAGTCTCTAGAGTGACACCATTGCTGTCCAGTACTTTAGAGAGGTCCATAATGGCAGACTTTCTCATCACAATACGTTTTTTGATTTCCTGGCTACTGGTGCCAAGAATGTTGACCGTGGAGCCAAGCCGACTAATGTTGTTAACAATCTCAATCTCTTCATCATCCATCCTGATGCTGCCAGTTGGTCCAGTTGTGAGAATCTTTGTCTCCTTGACATTGAGCCTCAATCCATATTGAAGGCTGCAGTCCTTGACCATCTGCAGCAAGTGCTTCAGGTCCTCCTCAGTTTCAGCAAGCTGGGTTGTCATCTGCATAACGCAGATTGTTAATAGATTCTTCCACCAATCCTGATGCCACAATTCTCCTCATAGAGCTCAGCCTACCGGATAATCTGTTCTGCGTACAGGTTGAAAAGGTATGGAGACAGGACACATCCCAGGCGTTTCCTTGCTTTGTCCTGATGGCTGCCTCTTGGTCCAAATATAGGTTTTAACTAAAAAAACAGCTAACTAAAAGATCCCTAGGGGGCGCTGCAGTGTAATCAGTAGGGATTTGCGCCGTTAACCCAAAGGCAGCACCTCTTCCCGGTAGTTAGAATCCACAGGCCACTATTTGGGACAAAGATGGACAATTTCTTTTAGTCACTGTCTCTGAAAACTCGCCGAAGAGTCTGCTGCCTGTCAGTTTAGACTCAGTGGTGATGAGTTTGAGTTGGAACTTTTAAACCCACCAGTTGCACTGCAGGAGAGAGATGGAGCAGTCGGCTTGGCTTCCATAATGATTTACAGCCCTGGGAAGCCTGCGGGCAGGTCGGCTGCAGTGCCCTCCAGTGTGCTGAATCGGAATTGACTCAAAGGCAGTGGATTTGGCTTTGACGCCTTCCTGGAAGTAGGACAGAGAATGTCTTGTTAGAAAAAGCCTCCTCCACCCTCTTGCTTTCCTCTTCCCCTGCCCTTCTCTGTTTTCCTTCCTCTCCTTTGCTTCTTTTCTTTCTGTTTAACTCCATTAATTAATCCTTGACTATTAATGTGTCTCTGACCAGGATATATGCCCTTTGAGGGTAGTAGCTTTTGTTTTCTTCACTGCCGGCCATGTACTAAGTAGTTGCTCAATAAATTTTTGTCTTAAACTGGTAAAACATATGTGATAAAACATGTATGTGCCATTTTGACAATTTTCACCTGTACAACTTATGTTGTTGTTGTTGTTGTTGTTGTTGTTAGGTGTCATCGAGTGTCATAGATGACTCATAGTGACCCTATGAATGAAAGGCCTGAGCACTGTTCATACATAGAGTTTCCGGAGGCAAGCCATTTTGGAAGTGGATGCCGCTCCTGCTTCCAGGCTTGTTTTAATAGGGAGCTCCAGCCAACACTGTCCACCATGGGTACCCATTACCACGATTGGCACATCACTGTCACAGGCTTCAGCATCACAGCAACCACGAGTTACCTTTGTACAGCAATGCACAGACCAGTGCTTTACCACCTAGAATAATGTTTGACAGAAAATCAATTTGACCCTGGCCTGAGGAACGCAGATTAAAATCACCCACCTTCAGCTTGGTAGCATAACTTTCTGTCCACTAGGCCAACGTAGCTCTCTCTATGTTGTCGTCGTTATAGTGCAGTAAATAATTTTCTTTTTGTAAATAGAAATTAATTTAATTTTAAAATCCTCCAAAAAGAAATTTCTCTGACCACATGGAGATTAAGCATGACTTGAATTTCTTTTTCTTATTTTTCATAGAACGACAAAGGGCAGATCCCTGCCGATGTTGTCCCAGACCCGGTAGATATGCCATTAGAAATGGCAGATGCGGCGGCAACTGCCAAAGAAATCAAGCAGATGCTGTTAGACGCGGTGCCTCTGTCTTGTGAGATCCCCAAGGCGATGCTTCCCAACTATGATCATGTCACTGGCAAGACGATGCTGACGTCACTTGGCTTGAAGTTAGGGGATCGTGTTGTTATTGCAGGACAGAAGGTATCGTAAATAACTGCATCCGCTCTCAGGGGCTCCATCCTCATCATGCCTACAGCTTGTGTGCCAAGGATTGCATAGTCAGTGTGACCAGAAATTTGAGATGTAAAGACAAAGCTAGAAAACACTCACTATGCAGGTGGAAAGAGGCTTAACGGAAACTGAAACGTCGATACAAGTTTACAGTAAAGTAGGATTTAAAAACGTAAAGTCTTTGAACTTGATGTCTTCATTTGAATGGGAAAGAGAGTACCATACATAGTAAATGAGTTAACTGATGTTAGAGGCAGGACTGAGAAATGATTGAGCCTGAAGATTGCTCCTCACAGTGGCTTCCACCTACTCCCAGGGGTGATTCTCTGCCCACATAATACTTCCCAGAAATTGGACCGAGGAGACCCTCGTGTTGTTTGGCTTTGAGGTCTCACACATAGGGAATTCTTAGCTATTATTAAACTGATCATTAACGTGTATATGGAAGTGATGACTTTTCCCTCCCCTCATTGGAAATGCTCTAGGTGTCTGTATGTCCACAGCCTCAGGTTCCAGATGATACTCCTTTATTGCTGGTCTCTTTTTAAAACCTTTTATGAACTTCTTTTTTTAAAATTAGGGTTAGTAGGAAATTCACTGTAGAGAATGAAACAGAATTCCTACCCAGGTTTGAATTTTCTAACATAGGTTCTTAGTATTTGGGTGATTTTGTGGGTTTATGAAAGTTTCCAAGAAAACTACAATTTGTAAATTTGATTTAGTAAGAAGAATGCATTAGTGCGAAACAAAATTACTACCAAACTATGTCAACATTTCCAAAAGGATGTATTTATAGGACATTCATTGTAGAACTAAAATATTAAGAAATTTTGAATTCATAGCATTTCCCTCCCTTTTTTACTTTGGATTAATATTCAGCTTCATAGCATTTCTGTGCTTTATACAAGAATGGACATTTTAGAGAGTGATTTTTTTTTTTAAATTTTAAACTGATTTACTTAACAGTTTTTTGAGTATTGCTTTTCACATCAGATATTTCTCATTTCCTTTACCCACCTCTCCCTCTCGCCATCAAATTGTGTGACCCTGTGATTACCTCCCCCTCCCGTCCTTACTCCTCTGCTCCCGCCCCGCCTTGGATCTTAATTCACATTTTACAATAATGTCTTATACAGTACTTGTCCTTATGGGACTGAGTTAATTCACATAGCATAATGCTTTTGGGGGGAGATGTTGTGATTTTCATCTCAAAATTTTTAAATTATAGAAAACTTTAACACGTTGCCGCACTCTTTTTAAATTGATGACCTTGCCTACAAACACATATTACATATGTCAGTCAGTAATATTGTATTAATATTATAAGTTTATTTGATTTTATTGTTTATTTCTTTTTAAATATATTCCTTATATTGATTGGTGTATGTCATACTATAAATTTATTAATTATAATAAAGTCAGTGCTGCCTTTAACATTTATCAACTTATGATTCTGTTTGTCTTTTCATTCTCTTAACAGTTTTCAAAAGAGCAGAATTTTTCTATTTTAGTGGAGCCAAATTTTTCAGCCCTTTTCTCTTATGCTTTTGGTTTCATAGCTAAGAAATTGTCTCCTATGTTATCGTCTAAAAGTCTTGAGTTTATTTTTTAATATCAAGTATTTTAAGTATCATTTGCCTCTTTTGCATGTTGTTGTTGTTGTTGTAATGTGTTATCGAGTCACACGACCCAATGTACAACAGCCCTGAAACCTGTCTTATCCTGTGCCAAGTTTACTGTCTCTAACACACCTACCCTCATTGCCCAGTCACTGAGTCAATCCATCTCATCGAGGGTCTTCCTCTCCTGCACTGTCACTCCACCATCCTAAATATGATGTCCTTCTCTAAGGACTGGTCCTTCCTTGCATATTGTTCTAGCACCATGCTTTGGAAAGAATATTCTTCCTTTGCCCAATTACCTTTGTATTTTTGTTGAGTATGTATTTCTGGACTTGATTTTGTTTCATTGAAGCTCTTTGAGCCTAGAGTTTTATTTTTTAAATTCTTACTATTTTAAAGTTTTTAATTACAAATACAAGTTATTTGAGTTAGCAGTGTTGGAATTTTTATCTCATTTGTCAGATTTGTAGACACAGAGATGTTGATAGTGTTTCCTTTAATGTTAATGTTGGTGACATGTGTCTTCTTTCTCTCATTTCCTAGGTCCATTGAAAAGTTTATGTTATTGATCTTTCAAATAATTACCTGTTGGTTTCATTGACTTATTTCATTGTTTGTGTATTTTCAATTTACTGTATTGTTTCTTTTGTTTGCTTTGAGTCTTCGGTGTCTAGTTTCTTAACAGGGAAACTTAGATAATTGATTCGAGACTTTTCTTTCTAATTATAGTTATTTCATGCTATAGATTTTCCTCTAAGCAGTACTTACACTGTGTTGCACACATTTTCTGGTGTTTCTACAGACATGGGGCTAATTTATTTCATTTTTTTATCAATATTTTCCAATTTCCCTTGTGATTTTTCTCTTTCTTCAGTAGGTAATTTAGAAGTTTTCCATATGCCTGTCTGTTAATGATTTCCAGTTTAATTTCATTGTGGACCAAGAACATATTGTATGATTTCATGGTTGCTTTGATGCTAAACACTGAGACACTGATGTGTCAAATGTGATAATGGTTACCCATGGTGGACAGTGTTGGGTGGAGCTCCCAGATTAAAACAAGCTTTGAAACAGCAGTGGCAACCTCTTCCATAATAGCTTGCCTCTGAAAACCCTATGAACTTGGAGAAACAATGAAAATTATACAAGTGTTCAGATCTTTCATTCATAGGGTCGCTATGAGTCATTTATGACTCAATGGCACTTAAGAACAACAACAACAACTTTTAAATTTATATCCTACTGTTTTGGGTTAAAAAAACCAAAACAGATGCTATCAAGTTGAGTGCACTTCTACTTATAGTGACCCCATATGTGTCAAAACAGAGCTTTGCTTTTTGTGGTAACAAGAACAAACAAAAAAAGACTGACTTGTCCAAAGTGAAGCACCATGCTTTTCTTCTGAGTCACCTTTATATAGACTTCAACTCCTAACCTTTAATACCCATCTAATCATGTTATGTTATCTCTTTGCACCACCCAGGGACTCCTTTTGGATAAAGTGGTCTAGAAATGTCTTGTGATTTCCTGCCTACTGACTACCTTAAGAGAAGTGTTGAAATCTCCAACTATATTTGTGGATTTATCTGTTTCTCCTTGCAGTTACTCTTTTGCTTTATGCATTATGTAGCTCAGTTGATAGGTGCAGATACATTTGGATTGACTATATTTCTCAATTAATTAACTTCTTATTACTTGATGTCCTCATTCATCCTTGGTAGTTTTCCTTTTCTACTTTGAGAAAATGGATGATTACAAACTTCCAATATCAAGTCAATTTGCAAGAGTAGAATACTTGGAATTACTAATGATACTCACAAGTTGTTGTGATATTCTGTATCTTTAGGTCGGAACTCTACGATTCTGTGGAACAACTGAATTTGCAAGTGGGCAGTGGGCTGGCATTGAATTAGATGAACCAGAGGGAAAAAACAACGGAAGTGTTGGGAAAGTCCAGTATTTTAAATGTGCCCCCAAATATGGTAAGGTGAATTTTATTTAGCTGACTAAAAAAATTATTTTAGCCAAGTAAATTTTACTCTTTTATCATTTTTGTCTAAAACTTTCCACCCAGGTTGCTTATGTAATAAATGAAAGAGATGCAAATTTAAGATGTTACAGTATGTTTGAGATAATGAGATGTAAAAGTATGTTTGAAATTATTATACTGATGAGAATAATAAGAGTGAGGGAAACATTGTTTCAAGAGAGGGGGGCTAGTTGTGGGAAGAAAGTCTTTAAAAAGTTAAGAGAGGATGGAACCCAGTGCTTATGTAGGGGTTAGTCTTGTGATGGGTCAGACACAACATACCTCTATTTAAGAAGAGAAAGGACAGAAGCTGAGACATAGATTTTTTTTTATACTATATGTATTTATCAGTACAATCCAGTATATAATACATGTAACAATAGCAAATTAAAAAACAATAGATGACACTATTAATTTTACTAATTTGTCTTTTCCCAAATGTAGAAAATTTGAAAAAAGCTCGATCTGGTTTGTGTGTGGGGCGGGAAATGATTGTGTTTGTGTGTCTTGACTAGATTGTAAGTACTTTAGGTGCAAATAATTGTTAATTTGTGTGTTTGTGTGTGTGATTTGAGTGAAAGCTTATAAAACAAATTGGTTTTCCATTCAAACTATGGGCTTCCGCCCTTTTTTGTCCACTCATTCAAGTAGACATAATTACTGAAAAAAAAAAAAAAAGACTTGCAGATTTTATTACAAATATTATAAAGGGTTTTGGCTTTTTTTCCCTTCAGCATTTTGAGTAAATCCTTGCTACTTTATTTGAAATGCTTTCGGTTCCTTTACCCTAACTAAAATTGTACACTTTCCCTTAGGCATTTTTGCCCCCGTTTCAAAGATCAGTAAAGCAAAAGACCGAAGGAAGAATACTGTCCACGCTTCTTCCACAAAAGCTGTGCCTCTCATGAAGTCCCAGAAAATTGATGTGACCCATGTAACATCCAAAGTCAGTACAGGTAGGTCAAGTCAGAAAGTTAAGTGTCTTCGAAAATGTTTTTATTTTACTTGTGAAACTTCTGTATTAAGTTTGCTTTACTTTTGTTGTTGTTAGTGTTAATTAACTGAAATCTGAATTAAATAATATCGTATGGCTTTAAAACCTCAGTCATGTGCTCGCTTCGGCAGCACATATACTAAAATTGGAACGATACAGAGATTAGCATGGCCCCTGCGCAAGGATGACACGCAAATTCGTGAAGCGTTCCATATTTTCAACCCTGAAATTAACCAGTCTGTAACGAAGGCTAACTCCTTTCACCTCCAAATTTCATCTTTGGATACAAAGCTAAGTGGATAGTCCTTAAGGAGGGACTGTTTAAAAAGAGGCAGGAGAGAATAGTCTAAAAGTATTATATTTTAGGGCATTATTTTTATCGTAGGAGTATGCAATGAGGGTTGTAGAGTGGATTATATTTGGGGCT